CGCCTAATCCTTCTCATCCTCCGTGCATAATACAACCTATAATAGGGTTTGACTGCTATGATCCTTGTCATCTGAATCACTCATCAATTCATTTCTGAATCATTGTGTGGACGCCAAGTTTGTGTCACCTGAGGAAGAAGAAGCCTTCGTCTTATATTATTTGAGAAGTGACAGATCCCATTTTGGTGCTTCGCTCTGATTGCGTCCCTGTTCTCCCCATTTTTGCCTCAACTCCCCGCATTCCTCTCCGATTATAATTAGTATTCCATTCTTCGCATAGGTGGCAACATGGTCCCACATACACGTCGGTGAGAAAGAGAATACGACGTATAATAGACAGGCTTTGAGTAGGTAAATTTAGATCTTGGCAAGAGCGTGTAGTCGAGGATGCGTGGCAGCGCACACGAGCTGCTTCCGAAACTCTTTCCATGCCCAACTGTTACAAGATGGAATTCACAAGGTGTAGGTGTGTAGAGCTTGATCGCGGTCACTTGTGTACCTACAGAACCTGGCCCAGGAATTGATGGTGACCGCCTTGTGCCTATGACAGGTCCACGGCCGCAACAAATACACGCAAGAGCGGCGCGTCGGAAGTCGTCCATTTTACCTCAATGATCCCCAGCTAGCTGCCAGGAGCTGTTACATGTACGGTGTACATACATGGGATCCTCCTTGCATCAAGGTATAGGCTGAGCACTTTTTCAAGTGCAAACTTACTGCTCTCTGGGTACATTGTAATTCAAAGAAGAGGTTTCAGTACTCCTGCAAGAATACGTCGGACATGGTTTGGTGCATCCAAAGGCCCATATGGGATGCAGGCGCGTCCAATAGGCAATGTACATAAGCAATGTACTCGATTGCATCAACAGGCCTTATTATTTATTTTATTTTATTTTACTGTCCCTGGCACAGACGTAACCCGTTTCCAGCCAAAACAACGCACATGAAGGTGTCCATCGATGCCCTAGGTCGTAACAACTTTAGTTAGCACCATGGATCTGCGCAGCCGTGCGAAAAATTCAAGGACGTGAACATCGTATTGTTCATCAGGCTCAGACAACCAAAGCAACTAGTACTAGGTGGGCCAGCTGGTGGCGATAGGCACTGAGTGGGTGACATCATGTGCTGGGATCGCCTCTGCCTCTGAAGTGCGCGTCCTTCGTTTGCACTTGATACTCCTGTAGGTCATTGCTCGCTAGCGCTGTCTTCAGTGACTGACGCAGGGAAATCCAACTCTCCAGAAGAGTGCTAATGCTACTAATAGTGGTCATCAATCTCCAGGTCAAAGTCCTTGAGAATGACTAATTCCCGAGCGTCCAGAGAGGGTGTGTTTGTTTGATTTTTTGAAGTTTTATTTTACATCGCAAACCAAACGGGCATTGATGCCCAATATTATGATGGCAACTAGTACTAGGTGCGACTAGGTGTGTTGATCTAGAACCGAGAACACTCTGCTAAACACACCTGCAGCCCTCTATTAAGTAGCCCTTACGTGTCCACCCGAGATTTACTAGTACTAACCCACTACACGATATTTGTGTTCGTGCCTTGGGTACATGCTTGCTCTTTCAGTACTGATAATCCCAGTATCCCTCTTCCATATATGTATATGAGTGACCGGTGGCAGTCATGTTTGAACACCCCAGGTATCGTTGTTTGTTCGAACTCGTGTCGTTCCGTACCGCTTTGCAAATGTTTAGCAATCGGTAGCACTGAATGTTAGCGGACATGTTTCCAGCTGTCTAGACTAGGTTGACTGTGAAGTGCGGCGAAATCTGTACGCCTTGGTCCTGGACCAAACCATCCGCCTAATAGTGAGCAGTTGGGCTCCGTGCATGGTGAAACTCTGAGTGATGGTATAATCGTTTAGAACGGTGCAGCGAGACAGAGAAATACTATACCCATGAGGAGCATCCATACCTTACATAAGGCCGTCTACCGTTAGCTTAATTATCACCTTTGACTTTAGCACTGGTTCCAGGTCTGACCCTGGGCCGAATTCGCCGCACACAGTGGTAAATCCTGAACAGCGGGGGTACCAATTGCAATCCTAGTGCATCAGCAACTATCTCTTAATCCTATTAATAACCCGCAGGTTTTTCTGGACGAGGTAACTCATGCCAGCTAGCGTCGCGGCTGAACCTGTCCAAATTTGGTGGCCAGACTTCGAGTAGTCGCGTGTGCGGGTGGGCAGCTTCGTTGGAAACAATGTAACGTATATTGACACACCTCCCTTTGATTATAGTCACCGATGCATGGGGATATACATGTAACATTATTTTCTAGGGAGGTACATCCCAGCACAGAAAGATGCTTACATACGTGAAGTCGTAGTAGGGTCCCCGCCATGCGCGAGTCCTGGCCCGAAGCTGGGGCGATAGAGCGACGATTTCCATAGGAAATTGCTGGGCGTTTTGCGCGAATCGAGGTAGGAAGCGGCGCACTCGTACCATCCATCAAACAGGCATCAAAGAATGTGTCTAGTATCAGCGCGTGCATGGCACCGAGAGAGACCAAAAGAGAGAGAGAGAGAGAGAGAGAGAGAGAGAGAGAGAGAGAGAGAGAGAGAGAGAGAGAGAGAGAGAGAGAGAGAGAGAGAGAGAGAGAGAAAGAGAGAGAGAGAGAGAGAGAGAGAGAGAGAGAGACATAGACAGAGACAGAGAGAGACACAGAGACAGAGACAGAGAGACAGAGACAGACAGAGACACAGAGAGACAGAGATATAGAGAGACATAGAGAGACAGAGACAGAGAGAGAGAGAGAGAGAGAGAGAGAGAGAGAGAGAGAGAGAGAGAGAGAGAGAGAGAGAGAGAGAGAGAGAGAGAGAGAGAGTGTGTGTGTGTGCGTATGTGTAATTCATAATGGAAAAAAATTGGGCACAACTACCTTTATGAGAGAGAGAGAGAGAGAGAGAGAGAGAGAGAGAGAAAGAGAGAGAGAGAGAGAGAGAGAGAAAGAGAGAGAGAGAGAGAGAGACATAGACAGAGACAGAGAGAGACACAGAGACAGAGACAGAGAGACAGAGACAGACAGAGACACAGAGAGACAGAGAGATAGAGAGACATAGAGAGACAGAGACAGAGACAGAGACAGAGAGAGAGAGAGAGAGAGAGAGAGAGAGAGAGAGAGAGAGAGAGAGAGAGAGAGAGAGAGAGAGAGAGAGAGAGAGAGAGAGAGAGAGAGAGAGAGAGAGAGAGAGAGAGAGAGAGAGAGAGAGAGAGAGAGAGACATAGACAGAGACAGAGAGAGACACAGAGACAGAGACAGAGAGACAGAGACAGACAGAGACACAGAGAGACAGAGAGATAGAGAGACATAGAGAGACAGAGACAGAGAGAGAGAGAGAGAGAGAGAGAGAGAGAGAGAGAGAGAGAGAGAGAGAGAGAGAGAGAGAGAGAGAGAGAGAGAGAGAGAGAGAGAGAGAGAGAGAGTGTGTGTGTGTGTGCGTATGTGTAATTCATAATGGAAAAAAATGGGCACAACTACCTTTATGTCACACCGAGAGTCCATAAGCTGGTAACGCCGGTAATGCAGTGAGCACTCTATCGGACGGCCTGGACCCTGTCCGTTTTGAAACGCCAATATCAAAGATACACGGCAGCACAATAACAAAATAATAATAATGTCACAGGATATGGATATCGGGTCAGTATGTGCTACACTCTACTACAGGGTATTGAAAATCTTCAAGCCATTGTCAACCGTCATTTTGCCTAGCCGCTCGTATGCCGCTGAGCATCCACACGCTTTGTCTGCGTAGACGCCGAGACCTTTGAGGTCGGCAGAGCAGCCTGGCCCCGCCACCACTTCTCGCACATATTCGGGAATATAGTGGACTTTCGTATATTTTAAAAAAAAAACACGTTTGTATGTAGCGACCTGACGGTTACGTCACACGCCCAAATCAATAAGCATGCGCAAGAAAGTGAAATCTTTCTCTTTGGTCTCAACTTCTTTGTTGTCCGGTTGGCCATTGCAGCTGTCGTCGTAGTTAAACCCCCTACATTCTCATTTTGTATTATGTGTTTGAAGCGATCTGAATGCTCATACTCATACATATAATATTATATATATATGTAGCTTCGAGCGGCTTCTCCATGTCTTTCTTTGATCAAGTCATTACTCTGGTTCACAGGCAATGCCAATGGCATCGATTTGTATCAAAATTGTTATCATAAGTCAGGCATAATATTATGACATCTTAGTAAGATTCCGTATTATGCCTGACAATCCCCTAGGCGCTTTCCATGTGATCCGGAAGGTTACTTCAGCTCGCCACTAATCAACAATCGCACTTATTGGCCCGGGCAGGTGTCGCACCTGAGCTTGTAAGGTGAATATTGGTTTCTTCCACCGCAATGTTGGCCTGGTGTACATCTACATTTTACATGTAGTTGCGGAGACAGTGAAGTCTGATGTAATCAGAGGATCCAAGATCACCCGCGCTAGCTTTCAGGACCCATAAATAGCTTTTGTCTTTCATCAGACGTGCTATTCCGCGCCGTTTCAGACTATGCGCAATCTTGAGCTGCGAAGAGCCGTGACAAGCCATCGAATTACGGCACATCCACAGTGGCTGCCTGTCAGCCAGGTACGTTTAACGAAGTTAGGGCATACAAGCCGGTGTCAACATCGTCATAGCTAACTGACCGTGGGCAATCCCCGGAGTCGAACTGTTCTCACACTGCACCCTGAAGATCAAATTTGCAGAGCGTTCAAGTGCACGGATGCCCTACAGGAATACAAAACTCACGATCGCTATCAGCCTTGGCTGATCGCACCTTTGCATTTGCAATTGAATTGCTCATGTTAAGAAAAGTTACTAGTTTTCGCATTCTTTGACAGACAATACCCCCAAACCGTCATAGTTGTTGATTTATTGTACACGCTTGCGGGCCAATGTGCCCCAAGCTAAAAGACCTGAACATCAGGCAGGATGGTGCAGAGTTTCAGAGTTCTGTTGGTCATGTAATGAGCGGTGACCGCATACAACACATTTCACCCTGGTCCCTTGCCAATATCACCCAAGTCCGAGGTATCCAACTGTGAGACGTCGAGAGCTCATGTAGTCACTCGGAACACAGGCGCATTCCTGGCCCTCATCTGAAGGGGTTTCTCACCGACCGCCTGGGTTCCGCGCAGAAAGCCCGCTCTGCATCTGACCAGCAGGCGCCTGACGCATGCTGTACGCAGTATGTGCCCTGATTCGGAATGCGCAACCTAACATCTTGTCCAGCTACAGGAGCAGGCGTCCACTCTGCGGCCATGTAGTATATAGTACGCCTCACAGTGGCAGCTGGAGTCGTGTCCATATATACATCGAATGCCAATGTGATCTAGCCGGTGTAAAGCGAGTGAGAACATGCTCTGCGTGTACCTGGTATCTCTCTCTCTCTCTCTACATTTGTGCCGCAGTTCCACGAGTTGGAGAATTGACGAATCCAGACCACGTGAGACGGAAATAGACTGGAATTGAATTCCAGCCGAGCGAATGTATTCCTCGAATAGCGAAGAAAAGCAGTCGCTGCGAACCTAGAGGTGTACCTCTGAATTCTCTCCTGCTAAGCGTTGCCGTCGTTGCTGGTCGTTTCGCTTTGTAAGGACTGGTTCAAGCATAGAGTGTGAGACACCCTCAGTCAGAACTTCCGAGTCGTTCAGGGCAAGCGATCATTTGACGTTGTAGCTCCAGAACGAGCTGCCTAGCTTTTGACCTTGTCTGGTGTCATTCTGCCCGTTGCGACAGCGCTTCAAAATGGAGAGAGTGGCCGCCATTCCATGAAGCCCCAGACAAACGAGGACAACTACGTGTTGCTGACAACGTCACTTCACATCTGCTTGTCTGTGTCTACCCCCTGGACGAATCGAGCCTTCAAAAGACGGATGGTCCCTTGAATTCGCAGTTAGTTACTTCTGCCGTTGGCCAATGCAAAGCTGGATCGATCAACAAAATAGTGGGAGACTGCGAGCAAAGAAACAACATAGCAACTCTGCGCCGAGGCATCCTGTCATCCGTATCAATATCTTCACCCGGAGTTGTCAGAAGATCTCTGCTTGGCGCTGACAGGTAGGTAAATGTAGCGAGAAGGTGTCAAAGAGCAACAGCAGTGATTTCTCGCATGTGATCACTCAGCCGTCTTTTGCTTGATGGCTCACTGCCTGGGAGGCATTCTTTACGTCGACACCTGGCCACAGGAGAGCGCAGAGAGTCCGGTCCTGGATAATTCATTCAAAGATGCTACCCCTTCACCACTGGGCTGGCGGCACTTGTGTACTGGCACAGTTCTTGACTTGAGCATTGCTTGACTTGAGCAAGGCGTTAGGTGTTGTGTGATCCGAGGTGGCCGCACCACCCGTGGAGAGAGCTTGCTTTTGCGACCGCTTCACACCGTTTACTCGAGTATCACAAGCGCAATGCTTTGTCCCTGAAAGCAAACTTCCCCCCCATGCTGTGCCAGTAGCACAGCTTTGTTTACACTGGCCGTGTTAGTGTATAAGTAGTCTGACTGTTTTCCTTGTTGCTCCCATTGTGTTTTCTCACTTCTCTGCAGCGCCTTGCTAAGAGAGGAGACATCTAAAACCAAGCATGGCGGTGTGTCTGGAAGGCGCCGCAGCGCGGACGCAGTGCCGGACGCTGACCGTGTGCAATCTTGTCCACAACATGGTGGTGCTTTGCGCGGCGGTGTGTCTGCATTCCGCTACAAGAGCAACTGGGTCTCCCGTCGTACAAGTGACAAGAGGACGATTGTCGCGACGAGCAGATGGGAAGCACCAAGGAAGGTAAGCCGTTGGATTTTGATAGTTATAATGTATTTCTCCCAGCGGATGATTACCTCGCAATTTCCGCTGCTTTTTGTATTTAGGGGATGTTGCCCGAGGCGAATCAACCGCGGAGTCATCCCTGCATTGAACCGAAATTGGTCGTAATTGATTCTTTTGTTCTGCGCGTATCCTGGTATCAGACCAAGCCACATTTCAAGTATGATACTTTCCCGTAGAACAGCACTTACAAGGACATTGGCTTGTGCGGCGTACAATACACCACGTTTACACGTCATGCGGAATCATTTTGGCCAGCTTTACCCAAACTGGGTTTCCTGATAAAAAGCTCGTCACATTCAGAAAAGGACATTCGTCGCCCGTGTATGTACGTGTCGTCCTTCACAAATAATGAAATTGACTGACTCCTTGACCGCCTGTAGCACCAAATGGAGCACTGGATGGTCATGTTAGATGACTTGTTGGACGAGGTACATGCGTTAAATTGCTTCCTGTGACATCAGTAGCCGATCATAGCAGTTCGGGCCAAGATTAGAATGCATTGATACATGTAGCGTGTGGCGTTGTGCTTCTAACGTTGTGTTCTCTGTCACTCTCTCCGCCGTGTGTCCGTTTCCACAGCTCACTCGTATGCGTGTCCTACAGAGAGGTGAACGAAACGAAAAACGTCAGTCGCACCATATCCCTCGTGACCCACTGCGCCAACCCGCGTATGCCGCTGGCAGTGCGACTCGCCTGCAACCACCGATATGTCCAAACTGTACAGTAAGCAACGATAATCACTACGACCGATCTCATGCAGCATCTGCTCAGTGTCCATCGAATCATGCATGTGCATATAGTGGGCGGTTTTCCAAGGGCGGGGACGCCAAGGAATTCGCAGCGTTACCTTCTGGTACGTAAGACGGATGGGTTGGTTAGTACATCACAACTGGAACACCTACCGACGTTCAGCCATGTCTGCCCTGGCTACAATCTCTTGTAGTCCCACCACTGCAGCACTCGCTTGTCAATATGCTAGTCAAAAATACCTGCACGACACATTCACACTAGGATGGAGAGCCAAAGATTAAAATTAAAAAGAGGGGATCAAAAGCTTACAACTTAGTTATCCGTTTTTGTCCAACACCAACGATCATTGGCACGATACTGGTGAGCCAGATCGTGCCACAATTAGCACAACACTGACTGATGTACTGACATTCAATGTCCTGATACTTGGCTGCATCATGTCGACATATTCACCTGATCAGTTTTCCCTTAACTTTGGGCTAGGATGCATGGCACACTGAGCAACAACAGCAACAAAAAACATGTTATTTCAATATTTTGTCTCTGTGGATCTTTTCTGGCTGGATGCAGGGACGGTGACGCAAGTCTGCGCGATTTCAACTGGATCAACTTCACGTACACCGTGCAGGAGACGAAGACAGTTTTAGTACGCCTTCCCGGTCGTGCCAGCTACCGACGAAAGCTTCGAGGAAATTTCCACTGGATTGACTGGTGAGACAAAAAGAATCAATTGGACATGTTCTAAATTTTCGCTGGGACAAATTTGTTATCCGCTGCCCCACGGTACTTGAAGTAGGAATAGCGCAAGTAATAGCATGTTTAATAGCATGTGTAAATAATGAAATAGATATTCTTTGGGTAATGCTGAAATAGAAACAATTAGCATAGAAATAATCTGAACAGGTTTGAGGGAAAGACGCAAACGGGAAAAGTCTGAAGAATTTGTTTTAGATGAAATCGCCACGATTTTGTTGTCTGGGATTACCAAAAGCATCAAGCGTGCTGACATTTCGCTGTCGCCAATCTCCTGCGATTAGAAGCAGCAAACGTGTTACATGAGGGCCGGACACTTCGCAATATTGCTCGGCAACGCTGATTAGGCATCCATTTAGCAGCAGGAGGGAATCGTGCTACCCCCCCCCCCCTCTATCGAGGTATTCAGAGGTAAAGACGCTTGTCATTCCCACATTGTCCCAGTAGGACATCTAGAACACGTGAAAGGCTATTTTATCCTTGCGCAATAAACTCATTTCTGACTGTACATACCGCCCACAATGGTCACGGGCCAGGGTGTCAGAAGATGACAGAACCCTTTGGTCACAAGATGACACCACGAAGTAGGCACTTCAACGCTTACAACTAAACAAGTGCAAGACAACATAAACTGTGCGAGGACCGCCTCACCAAATGATCCAACCTAACGCTGCCAGTAATTGACTAGAAATCAACAGCTCCTTGACTGATTTGAACCATCTTCACAGTAGTACGTCGGAATTCCATTGGACCTGTGTGTATCAATATTATTACGATATTGCAGCGTCAGAGCCAGTACTGTCACATACCGGGCTGTTGAGATTGGCTGCAAACAGCAAGGGCAGGGAATGGCGTGCATGTGTACTGTCCGAACAGTGTAAATGGAATGACATTAGGTTGGTACTGTGTGCCGTGGGGTCACGAACAGGATTACCTATGTGACTGTGACTCAGTGAATGGAAGGACTTCGAAAAGAGGTACTTGAGGCATCACACGAAGGCATTCGTGACTGAGAGTCCCAAAGTGGCAAGCATATGCTCCTGTTCCATGCGTGCCTGGTACAACTGCAAGTGAGGTTCAGCACTATACCTCGAGGTACAGTGTTGAACCGTCAAACCAAGCGCTGTCAACATACCATTCCCCACCATTCCGTATCTATTGTTAGCAATAAAGTTTCTCATTACGAGTTTGATAGGCAGCATGATCCTTGAATATCTATTGTTCGCATGCTAAAGAGCTAAAAGGAACAACGAAATCACTTTGTAGCAATTGGCATAATGGCTTGAGTGTTAAGTGAAGCTACCAAACATTGCAAGAAAAACAACTGTCGAGAAAGCATGAATGAGCGGAGATCACTGTGGAACGTGGTGTCTAGGACCCATGATTGCAATCATCATCTCCAGAGCAGCGGTTTCAAAGAAACTACCATTGTCCACTTTGCTATGCTCCATGGTGAACCTCACGGGTTTGCACAAAGGGTACATATCTCCTGTCACTCCCATGCGCCGCCTATCGCCTAGAACATAATAATTATGGTTTCGACGAGCTTTATTCTTTATTTTACTTCGCAAAGTCAAACGGGATCATTGCCGTATAAAAATGATAGCCTCAGCGAGAGAGGGGGAGGAGGGGGGGGGGGGATATTACATAATATTTTTATGTCGTGATCGAATGTGTCCTGTTGAGAAGTGGTTTTCGATTGGCTTGCAATAGCCTACGCGCCCAGTGCATTGCACACAATGTACTATGTGAGGTGTCGGTGCCGAGATAAATACCTAACTAATCTAACACAAGTTCAAACGTTGTTAGTTTGACAGCATGAAACAAGGTGGAGGACACTGTGTTCAGAAACAGTGACCTTACTACAGCCATCCACGGTTGGCAGAGCTGCTCTCAAACTAACAACACGTGTGAACTATAACAAGGTTTATCTAATACTAGTATTCTACTAGTATTGGGATATATAAGTTCAAATGTGTGTAGCAGCACGCCTGGTAATAGCACATTGAGTGTCTGTGTGCTGCTATTTCGGCATCTAGGAACTCCACACTTCCGCTGATTAAACACCCAGCAGGAGCGACGTACGTACGGTGCGAATGGAGGTTCGTCCTCAAGACCAAAGAAGAGTTTCGCCAGGATAACAGCGAGCAGGGACCCGCGGCACGGATACACCTGTTCAACAAGGTCTGGGTTAGACGCGCGCCGAACAGGGCGGGCTGTCGACGAACGGACGGCAGGCTTACAATTGCAGTGCAGAACGTTACTGGCAGGTGAGGGCACAGGACAAAAAAATATAGCCAACCTCCTATGGGTAAGGCAAGGACAGGAATACCTTTTTTTAGTAGCAATCTAGCGTTCTCGTCACGTGCAGCAATTACTATGTGACATCACATCCCACGCAATATGGGTCGAGATAATGGGTCTGACGGCTTTGACGAAGTTTGTTCCAATTTCTCGACATTCGCACCACTTCGATATTGACCTGGCGACACTTGTACCGCCTTCACCATGCTGAAATCTTCATAATTTACTAAATGGGAGTCGATTGTGACTGATTTAGCACCTTGACTACGTCACAGTTTTCCTGGCGGGGGAGAATAATGGAATGTTGCATGATGTCAGCCATTGCCCAGGCATTTTATTTGCCCATATTTGTCAGCAAATAATCCATTTTTGTCCGTTATTAGAATTTTCAGATACATGTATAAACAAGTGGTACCAGAAGATATGACCGCCCAACACTGACAGGTTTAACCATTCACCGAGGTCTTTATAATATAAGTACGGTACATGTACCGTATATGTACAGTACATGTATGTTAAATGTGCGTGTGTGGGGGGTAACGGATTACAGTGAGTGCAACGTCTTTGGGTTCTCGTATCCGCCTTCTTCGTGTGCAGCAAACGGTTTGTGGAGCGCGAACGATACTGTGGGCGTCGCCAGCTACCTGGCGAGCAGATCAAGCACTTCTGGCCCGATACATCCGTCGTCACGATGAGCTTCCGGTCCAGCCTGTCAAACGCCAGGCCAGTCGGTCCCTACGGGTACTTCTTCAGTTACCGCGGCGACGAACTGATCAATGGCTGCGCGTATGACTGTTACCATAGCGATGCGCGACCGTACGATTTCTGTCGCAATGCAAGCCTACCAGCATTCCTGAAGATCTCAGTGGACGAATCGGTGAGTGAAATCATTACTCTAGCTGGAATCACAAGAAGCTGCTCTCTGATTTTCTTTAACTCGGATGGAGAGCCAATGATTAAAATTGAAAAAGAGAGGACCATAAGTTTAAGTTATCAGGTCGTTGAATGTCAGTGTCACATCAGTCAGTTTCGTGCTAATTGTTGCACACTTTGACTCACCATTGGCCTGCTTATAATCGTTTGTGTTGGACCAAAAAATGATAACTTGTAAACTTATGGTCCTCTCTTTTTTGATTTCCTTTGTTCGCTATTAATCTCACCTGATACAAGCTGCTGATGTGTTCCGGTATTACCACCTTGTATTCATTGCCAGGATGTCCAGGCACTCTTTGCAGCTGCTACCGCCCCTCCCCCAAAAACTGTACCACATGTACCACATATAGTTCTTTGGTCCTTTTGTCTTTACATGATTTGGCGTCGTGTAAAAGCAAATAGTATGCCATTGCAGGCAAGGCTTTGCCAAAAACATAATGAGCAGCACCATTATCCAGAAATGGATTCCAAGGCATAAGAAACAGTATAAAAGGAGGAGACATAATTGTGAAATCCAATTCGTAGAAGCTCTTGTGGCGTCTACTGTACATTGTATCAATACAAGGTAGTAGTATTGATGTTCTACTTTGTGTCAGGGTGCTAGTTACGCTCATGTTTCATGCAGTTAAGGAGCAGAATCAACTCTTTCACATTGTGCCAAATAGAGCGGAATCATGCACGGTTCTAAGAAGAATTCACAGCCTACAGGCAGAGAGAGAGAGAGAGAGAGAGAGAGAGAGAGAGAGAGAGAGAGAGAGAGAGAGAGAGAGAGAGAGAGAGAGAGAGAGAGAGAGAGAGAGAGAGAGAGAGAGAGAGAGAGAGAGAGAATTGAGAGAGAGAAATTGAGAGAAAGAGAGAGAAACAGATAGACACAGAGAGACAGACAGACATACATAGACAGAGAGACACAGGGGAGAGAGAGAGAAAGAGAAAGACAGACAGAGAGAGAAAGAGAGAGAGAGAGAGAGAGAGAGAGAGAGAAAGTTGTGGAATATGCTTCGTAGCAGCTCATTGTTTCTGCCTAGCTCTAACCTGCATTTGCCTACTGTTCTGCTCTGCAGCGTGTGCGTAACTACACGGTGTCCGAAATGATGGAGGGCTTCGCGCACGCCATTCGCTTACTGCAAGATGAGGCTCGCGAGTACCACTGCATACAGCGGTACCCCGTGTTCAAGCAGCTGTTCCTGAGAGGCAGTACGCCCAACTTCATGGCAGCAAAGTCGAGTAGTGCGGAGGATAAAGCACCTGTACCCAGTGCAGCAGCTGAGACGCAAAACAGCATATCATATTGATGATGATCGACGTGACCAATGAACGCTCAGACTTCGCAGATAACACTTGTTATATATTTTCCTGATTGCAGACTATTGAGAGATGAATTTCTATTTTATTACAGAAGATTCCTTTTTTGCTTTCCCCGCCTTTGATATTGAGACGAGAATCTCTGAAGTATTCTACGGACTTACCCACATAGGTAAACAAAATTACGATAAGTTCACCGGATAAGATACATACGGAACTAAGGCGTCACAACCGCTGAATTCAAAGATAACTTTCTGAAGTCTATTTCTGCTCACATAGATGCTGTAAATGTCTGGTCTTCCTGCAAGATCTCGAGTGAAAGACACGCTGGGCTTAGGAGCGTGCTGAATGTATCTTTGCAACGTGGTATGCTCTTAGTTAATCCCGAACACTAAGCGCTCGAGCTTTTGTTCCGCAGGTTTCTAGAGTTGATCTCGTTTTTTTGTGTGTTTATCGCTGCAATGCTTTCTGCTTCCTTTTCAGACTTGATAAAGAGTTTACTGATATTATTATTGACTACCACAATTATTATCATTAGCTGACAGTCACGCGAATACGACCTTATGGCCATACATGGCAGGTCATTGATTCCCTCATGGATTAAGTTAACGTGGCATATCACCCAAAAATTCCCTAAAAATCGAATTTGTAAATTCATGTCGAGTGCTACACCAGTTGAAATAGCATGAATAGCTGCAAAATCTCTGAAAATTGTGTCTTGATCTGACCAGCCGTTCAAGATTTATGGCCGAAAAAGTGCCCTTGCAAGGAAAGATTTTTTTGTTGCACGCCGTCATTTTTTGGCGGCACTGTATTTGAATCTGAGCAGACTGTGCGCAACTTGTCGTATCATGGAAACACGCCAAAGTGCGCAGAGTCCAAAAATTCACGTTTTGTAGCCACGTATTGGGCAGGGCTTTTGCCAGCACCCTCGTGACGTTGCAGATATGTGGCTTGATTATGGTAGTTGACGTTGATTTAGTGACTTTGGCAAATTTGAGTCATGTCAAGAAGTCAGGTAGGATTCAGTACTAGGCAGTAGTGGAACGTGAGTGGTAGTCTTTGTCGACTTTTGAGGGTATCCTGGATTTGGTGTGCAGCGCTGTGGAAATGGCTTGCAGTGGAGGTCCCAGCACTGGATGTTTTATCAAAGGTACGACCTCGTAGCGCGTGCTAAACCTAAACAAATTCAAAAATTGACTTGGGTCTGTGGGATTCTGTGAGAGAACGCCCACTCCTGCTGTTGTGACAAATTCCAGGGCCACGTTGAAGGGTCCTATCCCACCACCCATGGCTGCTTCTGGACTTTTGTTAGGTTTGGATCCCGCGCACGGACAGAATAGGCAAGAAAAATGTGAAAAAATCGTAAATGCATTTTTTGGCTCCTGGGTGGCTCGCACACCGTGGCACTATGCCGGAATTTTGAGTTTTTTCGGCCAGATGGCCAGCATAATGGCAGAAGTGTGTGGTGAAAAATTCACTCAAATCCATTGAGAGACACTAAAGTTACGGTCAATTGAATGCCATAATATTTTTGGGTGATATGCTGAACGCAGCTTGAAAGTCAAAACGTGCAATAGCATTATCAACGATTGCACAAATTACGCTTACACTACACCTTTCACCCAAATGTAAAAACACCGAAGTATATTGAACAATATTGAAAACGAAATAGTGGTTGCGACTTCGGCGATGATTATTTAGGAATCAGTTTGCTCCCACACTGGAGCTCGCGCTATTGAAAACGTAACAAGAATGTAAGCAGCAGCACTCCGCCCTTGAGTATTGAAAACTATTATTAACAAGTACATGTACTAATGTCTTGTACAATGTACACTATCCATGTACATGTACATGTATGAGGCATGAACGTGATGACGTTGGAAGTCAATAAAAAAGAGACAAATGGTGACTTCTGGGAATTGGATGGACTTTGACAAGAGCTAAGCATGTAGAACATGTGATGGGCAGGCCCGTATTGTCGCATGAGGGTGTGACATACATGTATTTCTGCACCAGTAGTTAGTCCCCAGCTGGCTCCACTTGACAGGCTATGGAGATGATTCACAAGATGTTCTTTTGTCTCTAGCTGTTCAACAATCTCTCCTCCTCTTCTCCTCTATGAGCACTCAGCCGACA